CTATTGCTGGCCGTTTAGCAGGAAAATACGGCCGCGTACCATATTACCGACGAGGTCACCAGATAGAGGACACTTGAACGGACACGACAGTATCAATATCATGTACCTGGGGGATAAGTTAGGGGGGGGGGGTAAAGTCAGCAATAAGAAGTGAGCGCACCTTGTAATGTCTATTACTAGCCGTTTTGCGGGAAAATAAGGCCGCGTACTATATTACCGATGATGTCGCCAAATAAAGGACACTTTAATGGACACGACAGTATCAATACCATGTACCTGGGGGATAAGTTAGGGGGGGGGGGTAAAGTCAGTAATTAGTAGTGAGCGCGCTTCATAAAATCTATTGCTGGCCGTTTTACGGGAAAATACGGCCGCGTACCTTATTACCGATGATGTCACCAGATAGAGGACACTTTAGCGGACACGACAGTATCAATATCATGTACCTGGGGAATAAGTTAGGGAGGGTAAAGTCAGAAATAAGTAGTAAGCGCGCATTATAAAATCTATTGATGGCCGTTTTGCGGGAAAATACGGCCGCGTACCTTATTACCGATGATGTCACAAGATAGAGGACACTTTAACGGACACGACAGTATCAATATCACATACCTGGGGCAGAAGTTGGGGGGGGGGGGGGTAAAGTCAGCAATAAATCGAAAAAATCTATTGCTGTCCGTTTAGCGGGAAAATCCAGCCGCGTACCTTCTTATCGATAATGACAGCACATAAAAGACACTTTAATGGACACGACATTATCAATATCATGTACCTGGGAATAAGTTAGGGGGGGTTAAGTCAGCAATAAGAAGTCAGTTTACCTTATAAAATCTATTGCTGGCCGTTTTGTGGAAAAATACGGCCGCGTACCATATTACCGATAATGTCACCAGATAGAGGACACTTTAACGGACACGACAGTATCACTATCATATACCTGGGGGATAAGTTAGGGGGGATAAAGTCAGCTCAATAAATCAAAAAAATCCGTTTAGCCTGAAAATCCAGCCGCGTACCTTCTTATCGATAATGCCAGCAGATATAGGACACTTTGATGGACACGACAGTATCAATACCATGTACCTGGGGGATAAGTTAGGGGGGGGGGGTAAAGTCAGTAATTAGTAGTGAGCGCGCTTCATAAAATCTATTGCTGGCCATTTTGCGGGAAAATACGGCCGCGTACCTTATTACCGATGATGTCACCAGATAGAGGACACTTTAACGGACACGACAGTATCAATGTCATGTACCTGGGGGATAAGTTAGGGGGGGGGGGTTAAGTCAGTAATAAGTAGTGCGATCACCCGATTAAATCTTTTGATAGCCGTTTTGTTGTTTTGACCCCAGTCGCACACACTCGCCACTAGGTTTGATCTTACACGACCAGCGGTCCATGTTATCAAATGCTGTTGCTGTTTATTACACGCAGCCACAGTCAGACCTGTAGCTTCCTCAAACGACTGGCAGTCGCGGTCACGCGTAACTCGAGTGGCCGAAACGTGGCCACGAACTGTCGTGTCCGTTAAAGTGTCCTCTATCCGTTGACATCATCGGTAATAAGGTACACGGCCGGATTTTCTGCTTAACGACCAGCAATAGATTTTTTTGACTTATTGCTGAATTAACCCCCCTAACTTATCCCCCAGGTACATGATATTGATACTGTCGTGTCCGTTAAAGTTTCTTCTATCTTGTGACATTATCGGTAATAAGGTATGCGCCCGTATCTTACCGCAAAATGGCAAGCAATAGATTTTTTCGACTTATTTCTGTCTTTACCCCCCTTAACTTATCCCCCAGGTACATGATAGTGATACTGTCGTGTCCTTTATCTGTTGACATTACCAGTAAACATACGTACTACATAGCCGGATTTTCCCGCTAAACGGCCAGCAATAGATTGTTTTGACTTATTGCTGACTTTACCCTCCATAACTTATCTCCCAGTTACATGATAGTGATACTGTCGTGTCCGTAGTGTCCTATATCTGGTGACATCATCGGTAACATGGTAGGCGGCCGTATCTTCCCGCAAAACGGCCAGCAATAGATTTTATAAGGCATGCACACTACTTATTGTTGACTTTACCCTCCCTAACTTCCCCCAGGTATATGATAGTGATACTGTCGTGTCCGTTAAAGTGTCCTCTATCTGGTGACATTATCGGTAATATGGTACGCGGCCATATTTTTCCGCAAAACGGCCAGCAATAGATTTTATAAGGTAAACTGACTTCTTATTGCTGACTTAACCCCCCCTAACTTATCCCCCAGGTACATGATAGTGATACTGTCGTGTCCGTTAAAGTGTCCTCTATCTGGTGACATCATCGGTAACATGGTAGGCGGCCGTATCTTCCCCCAAAACGGCCAGCAATAGATTTTATAAGGCATGCACACTACTTTTGTTGACTTTACCCTCCCTAACTTATCCCCCAGGTATATGATAGTGATACTGTCGTGTCCGTTAAAGTGTCCTCTATCTGGTGACATTATCAATAATATGGTACGCGGCCGTATTTTTCCGCAAAACGGCCAGCAATAGATTTTATAATAAGTATTGACTTCTTATTGCTGACTTAACCCCCCCTAACTTATCCCCCAGGTACATGATATTGATACTGTCGTGTACATTAAAGTGTCCCTCTATCTGGTGACATCATTGGTAATATGGTACGCGGCCGTATCTTCCCGCAAAACGGCCAGCAATAGATTTTATAGGGCGTGCGCACTACTTATTGCTGGAGTTATTGCTGGATTCACACAAGTAGTGCATTGTATATGGTTGAATATCTGAAAATACATCCATTTCTTACTAAACTACTAACTTAACATTTTACAACAAAGAAACACTTTTTTACGCTCATTGTTGCAGCAAACCTAATTTTTTGTTTAACTAATTGAATTTAAATAGGTATTAGCCTAAATTTGATATTTTTAAGGATACATTTTAGTTTAAATCCAATAAAGCAAATAGGCCTTAATAAGCCTACATAGACCTAAAAAGGTAATGTATAACTTTCTTCTAGCTACTAGACCTGTGTCCTTAGTAGGCCTACTTAGGTTAAGTTACCCATTTTCAGGGGGACAGTTTCGCAGGGGACCTAGCCTACGATATATTATAAGATGAAATATTCGTTTGATATAGCCTATAAGTTTAGGCTAGGCCTATAAAATATCGTAATCAGTTCATTTCTAGGTGATACAACTTACCTTAATCCATTTATCATGTAGGCCTAGGTCTCTTTCAATATTGAACATTTATGTCTAACGTATTTTTTAAGGATACTCTTTACACTGTGTAGCTTACTTTTTGGTTTATAATAGGCCTAATAACAAAGGTAGCATTTCTAAAAAACAACATCAATCTTTTGTGTATGATTTGTTTAAAAGATAAATTTAAAAATACATTGGCTACGGTAAGTTAACTTTGATCTTTTTCATGAGTTTATAAAAAAGTACCTATACTTAACATAACTATAAATCGGTTCAATAATAACTTAACTATCGTATCAAATTTGAATTAATCTTAAGATACCATATGATATAAATAAAATAAATAACAAAAACATTAACGAAGCATTTTATTTTTTTATTCTTAGTTGTTTTGTTATTAGGTGGCCTAGGCGCTAGGCCTATTTTTTTTGTTTCCTTTGGTAAATTATAGTCCTACACAGTAGTTAAATTTATGAAATATAAACAAAACCCGAACAATCCATTAATCAATTTTATGTTTAGGCTACACCGGGGAAAAATAAAGAATATTTTAATAAAAAAATTAAATTGGATAAATACCGATATTTAATGTTAAGTTTTTATCCGAAAAACAATCTTCACAAAAATTATTTAGTATGTAATCATTGCGATATGTTGTACTTTTTAGATGTTTAATTGCAGTTTCTTTCACGCTGAATCCAAAAATGCAATTGGTTTTTGTCGGTGAGATTCCTAAGTGGCTGTAAAAAGAAGGTTAACATTACGAATCTGAGGTTCATTTAGTGATTCAGATGATAATATGGCGTGGTCTGGACGGATCCGTATGTGTTATTGTCTGAAAGTTTTGTTGTAATTAGTAATACAAAACCTCAAGAACCCTTCATAGTTCGCTAGCTATAGTAAGTAGTTGTAGCTTAGTAACAACTCCGTTATTAAGCAGAGTAGAGTAATTAATGTGTTTGGTACTGTAATACATTGAAATGCATTCAACTTATTTGGCCATGTATCACACACAATTTAGTTGTGCATCATAGAATACGTTAGGTTGAAAAAGATGTGATACTCAGCCCATGATTTTTAATCACCCTGTCACATGATTACAGGACCACATTGAGGGGGAGGGGCTAAGGGGGCAAATGCCCAGGGACACGGGCCCTAACTTAGGTTGGACAATTTTTAGTGTCAAACTGACCCCAGTTACTTTTTGCTTTGGGGCTTTAAAAATTATTGCCTTGTGAATTAACAGGTTTAGATTAACATCCCCAGCAAAAAAAAAATAACAAACACCACTGACACTGACGTTATAATTTATGATAGATAAAAGTAGAGCTTATGCTATTTATATTTGATTTTTGGATAGATATATGCGGCATTAGAATTGTTTCTAAAATAAAAGAGCGTTACGCCCGTAGTACAGAAAAATCGTTGTTAGTCTGGCCACTGCCGCCGCACAAACTTGCGGCGCGGCGCGCCGCAGGGGCAAGGTGAGGGGCCAAAGACAGATTATATGTACATGGAATTGTCTTCGTTCATTCTCATACGCGACTTCGGAGCGTACTCCTAGTGATATTTCCTGTATACTTAGTGAGTTGGTGGCTCAGTCGGTAGTGTTACAGACTTTGGGCCCAAGGCAGCGATGTCATGGGTTCGGATACTGGTCACTGCCGAAAACATTTTATCAGTACAGATCACCTATGTACTGTACCGGTTCACTTTGATGTACGATCCACAAGACAGTATAAACCTAATACAATTTTCATAAAAGAACTTATTTAACTAACCTTAACTTGTATAATGTATTGAAGCTCTTCTCTTGATAGAGGTTCCATGTTGACTTGTACCCAGTGCTTTTCCAACAACTCACATGCATTGCTGCGTTGCTTATATAGTCCAGTGGCTCCAGACAGTAACCTGGAACAAGCTTTGTCATGAGGAAACTGGACCAGCTGGGTGATAACATAATTTACAATAACTTTTGAACCGTCATTTTTACAGAAATGGGAGTCGTAACATTTTGTTCAGAATTTAAAGGGCTACAACATACTAAATTTTTATGAAATTCGTTCAGCAGTTTTTTGGAAATCCGATTTTTCCGTTATTTTATGGGTTTTTATGAGAAAATCAACACAAAAAATCTAAATTTCTAAAAAATGAAAAAAGATGCCTGGAGATGCCATGGATTAGACTGGACACACCAAATTCCCTCGAAATTTGACCACAGGTGTAGTCCCTAGCTCTGTATACATCGAGACGCACAGACCCACACACAGACATCCCTTCGAAAACCACTTTTTTGGGTAGAGGGGGACCCAAAACGGATATATCCACTCAAAACTCAAACTCAAAAATTTTGACGAAAACAATACTTTCTCCATATACTATGGCTATAAGGGGAGAAAGTAAAAAGCGAATTTAATAAAAACAGTCACATGACTGTTACAAACTTAACTTGTCCCTACTTTGATTTCCACCTAGTTAGAGAGATTTAAGCACATTGGTGTAAAACCAATTTTAAATGACCCATTCCTTAAAGGAAAGTTTCATGCTTCTTACTACTGCTGTTAGATAGAGTCTTTTGACTGTCAATGCTCGCACGGTTGCAGGTAAAAAAAATTGAATGCAATTAAATATAACACAGCTTGATAGGACAGAGGTAAAGACAAAAAAGTTTTACGCTGGCCATTGCCTACTGCCATAAAACTGTTTATGGCTTCATATTAAACTTGTAACTAATCTACAATCTTATTTTATAAGTAAAAATATTTGTTATGGATATTTTATCTTTCTATTGACAAAACTACAAGAGTTGTTGTTTGCATTCGTGTTTTTTTTTTCTCATTTTTTGTTATGCAAGCCTACTTGGTCTCAAATTATGCCATTGCATGTTCTGTATCTTGTCTAATATTTTTGGATGTGGCTGTTTATGTTTAACCCTTCCCGGACGGGTGACGGATGTATCCGCCATGTCTTTGGCGATAAAGGACGGGTGGCGGATATAACCGCCTTCTCTTCAGACAGACTGGCAGGTGCTTGAGCAGTAACCAGATGTTTCGCGGTACCAAGGCGCCACTTTCCTGCTCTCTCCATGGCTGCGCTCTCTCCCACGCTCCCCCCTCTAACCCGCGCCTGCCCCTCTCCTGCGTATACCCCTCTCCCGCGCAAAACCCACCTCTCCTACGCCCCCCCTTGACGTTTCGCGCTCAACACTACGTTGTCTTTATTTATTGTTTACATATTGTTCTTTATTTATTGCCTAACGTTCTCATGGTCATATCTTCAAAGACGGGTGACGGATATATCCGCTGCCTTTCTACTCATCCGCGGACGGGTAGCGGATATATCCGCATAGTTAAAAACAAGCAAAAATTATTTTGACCGTATGAAGTGTTCCATTGTGTTTATTTTATGTATAGCCTAATTGTAAAACAAAACAAAAATAAAGAAAACTAATTTTTATTTTTTCCTATAATTTTTTGTTTTATGTCACGATTTCGCCCGTCCGAGAAGGGTTAAATGTTTTTTGTTTCTTATATTTTGTTATTGTGTTGTAGGTACTTTATACAATGTAAATATTATGAACTAGAATGACAATAGTGACTTTGCCACACTCTTTGTTAACCACATAGTTTGTTACTCAATTTATATAGGGCCTCCTAAATAATTAGGTATAGGTCTGGGCCTTTTGATTTTTTGGAAGAGCTTTAAAATATACTAAGAAAATTAAATCGAGCCTGAGATAAACTAATGATTGATATGTGTCAATGTTAACTTTGCAGTTACGGTATTTTTATCAGGTAACAGTTATTGACAAGCTAATGGGAGAAAGTATGTGTCATCAGATTGCTGATACCGTTAATTTTAACTTCATTGTAAGAAAGAAAACGTCCTTGTACAACCTGATGATGGCTCGACATAGGAGCCGAAACTAGTTGCGTTTGCAACAAGATTGGATTGCCTAATAGCAGGTATTTAACCCTTCTCTTTTTTTATGCTTTTTTTAATCAATGATAGATATTTAAAGGCTATATCTACATCAACATTAGTAGGTTTTATGTTATTTCATTGTTGTTAACTTATAATCTACAACTGTATCTACAAGTTCTTGAAAGTTGTTTCCTGAACTTTATCTCTATCTTGGTCTGCTCCATTACATTCTATAGCCCAATCCGCCTTGAACTACTCGCACTACAGCAGAAAATTCTTGTTGATTAGCTTATTTTTCAATCGATGTTAAGGATGCAACATAGAGCACCAGAGCCTAGATTTTTATTGGAATTTAGTCTTGCATATCCTAAATAAAATTACAAACAAATTTTCAACGTTAATCTTGGGTCTTGGTACCTGTAACTGAAGAATAGCTGGAAGCCAGGAGCAGCTTGTAGATTATCTCGGTAGCCAGGTACATTGACACACCCTGTCTCTAACAGACTAGCCAACACTGCAATCACATCACTTGTAGCACTGTCTATATCTTCCAACAACAACCACTGGCCACTAGACACTGCCTACACAACAACAATTTTATGACAATTAGGAAGTACTAACACAGCAGCAAACCTGCAGACTAAATCAATTTCCATTTGCCTTGTTGGATTTTCAATAACATGTTACCTAAAAACTCTCAGATATATCCCATATTAAAAACCTTTATTAAATGCTTTAAATTTGCTGGTACATGTACACTGTACAGGGTAGGAAAATGGTATTTTTTGAAATTTTTTTTAAATTGTCAAGGTAGGTATGAAATAAAGAAAATTGACCAAATTTGATCAAATCAAAATACATCCATAAACCAGCAAAATACAACAGCTTACTTTATTATCAATATTCAATAACAATAATTAGCATGGGCAATTTTTTATTAGTTTTTTATCGAATTTCCCATATAGAGCTATTACCGCAGGTCTCATGGTAAGACCTAGACCCGGGACCGATTTACTTTTTCGTTTTGAGGTCCCCAGAGGCCAAAAACACCATCCGTTAAAATTCATATATATATATATATAAATTCATAATGCAAGAAATTAATATAGCCTACATATATAGGCCTATATATATATATTATATATATAGGCCTATATATGTATATTAATTTCTTGTATATATATATATGTCTGTTAGCACGATAACTCGAGCAAAAATGATCCAATTTTGATGAAATTTGGTACAAACGTGTAAACCGTGTGCGCACACTTAGACAGGTTTGTCTATGTGCGCGCACGCGGTTCGTAGGCCTACTATTTTCCGTCCATGTATGTGTGTAAAAATTATATTTATTTGACGACCTCTGATGAGTGAAACGTGTTCTTGAGAACCTGATGATGAAGCTTATATTGCTTCGAAACGCGTAGTCGACAGACAGCATTTGGATTACTCTGGTAGATCCAGGTAACATTATACCTTTCTTTTATAATCTCAAATTAAAGGTCTCTATCCCGTGACGGCGGGAAAAATAGTGAAATTCCCAAAATTTTAACACAAAATTAGATATAACGTAAAATGTTCTCCATAAAAATAGCATTAGAAGCCATTTACTGCTGGATTTTGTTTACTTCAAAAGAGCTGATCATCAAGCCAGTGCCAGTCAGCAATATTACATTTGGATTACTCATTTTCCAGTCAATTCTGCAATGGCTATATAAATACTATATAAAACCACGGGAAGTTTTTTCTTCTAATTTGAAGGTTATTGTTGTGTTGAAGGAATGTTTAACATGAAATAACCACATTGACTAAGTAATAAACTATTCAAGATTAAATGGAAAACTTCTGCTTTATTTTGATTTCAAAAGATACAGACTTATTCTACACATTCTTTTATATTTACCAACAATTTTAATTTGAGATTTATTGTAGTGTTTAAGCAATATTTTGTATGAAATGGAATAACCTCAACGGCCACTCTTAGAAAACAACCAGAAAATAAAGATGAAATAGGTTCTTACAGGCAATATATTTGTTCATGAAGTTGTTTCTTTAAGTTAGTTCATTCAACAAGTTCCAATGGGCGGAAAACAATATGGTTTGGAGGATATATTAACCTTTAGGTACTACCTGTTGCTCCAAGCAAAAAATGCTCAAATAATAGCCTAGCATGCACGGTAGTAAAGGCAGTATCTATATAGAGTTTGTTTCCGTTTCTTAAAACTAACCAAAAATATGCATGTCGAAGATGCTGATGAAAAAGTAATTTCATGATTGGTTTCGATAACTGGGTAATGGAACCCTAACCAGTCGCAAAATAGTTGGGAACCAGCGTTGATTAGGCCATTTTTTGATAGAATATGTGAAGTCAATCGCACCATTAGGAGGATTACCACCACATAATCTTACACTAGGCTAATAGTAGTTTTTTTTTATGTTCATCAGAAACAAATCTAGTGTTAAGTTTGGTCAATGGGATGCCTTTACTTTACACTAATTTTGTTAAACCTTTACAAAAGTAGCATAAACTTAGAAATAATAACTGGGTCAGGGTGCTAATTTAGCGGTTTTGACCAAGAATTCAACTTATCTCAACACCTTTATTTGCCTTTTCAGAATTGACGAAGACAATTTCCAATATTTTAATCAGGGAAGCCTTTTAGCGAATTTCCCTATAGGGAAGTAGCTATTACCGTAGGTGGCACGGTAAGACCTAGACCCGGGACCGATTTACTTTTTCATTTTGATGTCCCCAGAGGCCAAAAACACTATTCGTTCAAATTTTTATATATGTATATATATATATTTTTTATATATGTATATATATATATATATATATACGTCCGTGAACACGATAACTTGAGTAATTTTTGTCCGATTTTGATGAAATTTGGTTTAAAGGTGTAAAGCGGGATAAACTTGAATGAGTTCGCGAACCAGCACGATCGGACCATGGGAACGGGGCTTTATGGGGGGTTTTATGGGGTAAAAATTGGTTTTTCTCACTTTTGACCCTCAAAACACAAAATTTCCCGATTTCTCTTTAGACCTTTTTAAAGAGCTTAAAAAAACAAATAATTTAGTATGTAAAAGTATTTTTGTTTGATTATTAGTAACGGAGAAAATAAAAAAAATTGTAAATTTTAAATTCCCATGTTAATCTTATGGAGAATATTGTCAAATGTTGTAGTTTGCTTGTTTATGGATATATTTTGATCAAACTTGGCAAATTTATTTATTTTGTACTAAGCTATCAATATTTTACTCAAAAACACACTTTATTAGTTTCCTTGTAGCAGCAAACCTAGGTACTTGTTAAACCTAATGTTATTAAAACATATTTAACTGAAAATCAATTCAGACAAATGGAAATTCGCTTGGTCGGCAGGTTTGCTGCGGAGGGGGTATTTATCATCATTTACCAAAAGACCAAAGTTACATTACTAAGCCAATGTTTATTCACAAACATGTTTGCTGTCTTTAGCAGAGTTAAACCTCTGAAGTAATTCAAATTATGTATTGGAAATAACATCAACAAAAGCAAACAAAGACAAAAAACAAACTATTTTGTACACAAAATATATATTGTACTGGGATATCCATCCTGACACACGAATAATTTGATTCCGAGTTGTTTACATATTACAATAATTTGTTTTACATTTGTGCTTTTTAGGGACTTATGTCCCTACAAGCCACTTCCTTCTGTTTTTGATAATTCTAATTTCTACATATCCACTCCTATTTTGAAGGTAACTTTTAAACCAATTTAAATATGAGTTTTTGACGCCTATACTACTTAATTTTTTAACAATTTTGCTATGGGATATGCTGTCAAAGGCTTTGGATGAATCCATAAAAATTCCAGTTACTATGTTTTTCTCATCCATTGATTCAATTACTGACTCAATAAATGTGATTAGAGCGGTATTGACAGATTTGTCCTGTCTAAAACCATGTTGTTCTGGGCAAAAGAGATTATTATCATTAAAGTGTTTTACCGATCTCAAATACATGGCTTTTTAAAAAAAAATTGATATCGAAGGTAAAATAGAAATAGGACAATAATATTGAATTTCTGTGTCATCTTTCTTTTTCAAGACTGGTACCACTTTTGAAATTTTGAGTTGCTCTGGAAAAATTCCTGAAATGAACGAAGCGTTGACTAAATGAACTAAAGGCTTGATGAGTGGATCCCTAACGAATTTTATTACTTTAACAGGTACCCCATCATAGCCACTAGACCACTTATTTTTGAGTGAATCAAAAATGGCAATTAGCTCCTTTACTTCCATTGGCGGACGGAAATCTAATACCTTTAAGCCTTTAAGCAATACCTTTAAGATTAAGTTTAAAAAGTTCTTAAAATATATAAATGTTTAGTTGTAAGGACAGTAGTTTAATGACAAAAATTGTTCTGAAAAACTTATATGTATCAGAGAAACGCTGGCTAATAAAGACATTTTTATTTTATTTATTTATTTTTGTATAGACTCTTTTGTAAACTGTGCAAATCAAGGTTAATTTTTAAGGAAACATTTTACATTTCAAAGTGTAAGGCCAGATGAGATAGAAAAAGTGGTAAGCGACTTAAAAAATAAAAACGGCTTTGACGAAATCCGCCTAAAAGTTATTCAAAGTGCAAACATCACCAAAGCCAAGTTTTAAATCATCTCATCAACTCGTCATTTGTATCCAAATCAGGAATATTTCCAAATCAATTAAAAAATAGCAAAAGTTATGCCTGTTAACATTTTACATATTTGAAATTGTTGAAAAAATTGAGCAAACACAATTAACTGAATATCTTGGAAACACTTAACAACTCATTAATTTCTAGTGATGGGTCGGTTGCTGATTTTATCGATTTGGTTTCGGTTATTTTTTTTTAATCGGTTGTCGGTTTTCGGTTTTTTAGTTTTCCCCCTTGAATCTCACTTATTTAAATAATTTTTTTTCTCTACTCATTCAAAGGTAGTAAACATGTTTAAAAATTAAAACTGTAACTTACTTCATGTGAGGGCTATTATATTTTGAAGCAAGATTAGATTAGAAAACATAACTTAACTTCAATACGTTATGGCTGTTATGGTATCAATAGTTACAAATCACAATTGTCTTATTTGAAAATTTAAGGTTACAATTCAAGGCTTCAAAATATATAGGGCCGTTGAATTTGCCATCATCATCAACAAGATTTCGTTCCAATCAAATTACATTTATGATACTGCAATCAAGATACCACAGCGAGGGACAGTTTTGTATAAAGCTATCAGCTGATCGGGAAATCTATGCTCGACGTCATCACTGACCACACTGATCCTGACTGGTCATAACTCTCGCCCAATAATGTCGTGTCCCGTGCCGTTGCAGTATTACCCTTAGTTTTAAATCTTAAATGATCGTTTTTAAGTTTGTGTACCTGTGAGTGTTCTATTCATTTATTGATTACCAATTGACAACATTCGAATGAAGCGAGAAGACATCTGTACTGGCCTGACGATGACTCCTATGTGAGTTGGAACCGGTTGCAATTTAGCAACACATTTGATCGCATAAATGCAGGTATTTACACCGAATCTTAGTAATAACTTGATCTACTGACTACACAAAGCATCTGGAATTAAACAGAAGGTTTAACAGAAGGGAATCCAGCCTTAATCCTAGGTAGGACGAAGTTTAAATTCAATAATAAATTTAGGCCCGATTTCTTAGTTGAAATTACAATTATGTTACCTTAGTCAGTAGACCAGGCTGCCAGATAAACTCTCCCGGAACGTCAGTACAACAGTAAGCTCCTAGCAACATCTTGGCATCTGTCTCATCTCCAAGTTGAATCTTCAGTAGTTCCGGTCGACCTAGCAATAATGATAACTGATAACCAATGGAAGAAATTCCAATCACATGTTTTATTTACAGTGTGGGGTGAAAATAGAGAAGTCTGTACATTACATATTTTTGGTTGAGTTCTCGACCACTGGATGACATCTACTTATTGTTTAATTCTACACTAGTTTACATTGGATGATGGTACAAAAAGTTTTTTTCACAGAAAAATAACTACTTGTCATAATGTTTATGTAACTTGCAAGCTCATTACCTGTCAACTGAGCCAGATGGTGCACCGTAGCTGTTTTTCCACACCCTACTGGACCCATTAAGCAGACTGCTCTACCACTCGCCACTCCTAGGGTAGCTCGGCGCAAGTTCTTCCACGTCGAACTGACAGCTACCAACGAGCCAGTTGATTTCTGTGACACATCACAAATGATTTAATAACAAAACTTGTTCAATCTAATTTTTCTAACATAGCATGCTTACCTGAATGGAGAAGATAATGGAATTCTTACAAGTATTACAAAAATTTCAACATTTTACTATCACTGACAGAGGTTTGGTCAAAAGGACAGTTGTCTTAAGGTAAGCCTGCTATCCTTACACAAATCCTTTAAACTAAAACCTAGGCTCTCTTATGTTATGTGTTACATCCTTAACTAGTGATGGGCGGATCCAATAAAATGTGGGTACTGAATCCGGATCTTGAAAAATTTGGATCCGGATCCAGAAATGTAGGCCTACTGTCATAAGAGTGGGTTAAAAAAAAACGTAATATTTACAGAAATCCAATTTAAATCATACTGTTTTAAATAAAATTGGTAATGTTTAAAGGTTGATGTAATCCGATACTATAATATAGCTTATATGGCTAGGCAATGTCATAGAATATGTCGATGTCCATAAATTATATGGCTAAGCAATATCCCCCTAAAATTTTCAAAATCATGAAATGAATCTTCCAAAAGGCTATCTCTGTACATTTTTAGTCTTGTACAGAGACATAGTCTTGTATATATGGACAGTGTTAGACTTTCAGCAGTACCACTACCAAACTTTACTTTCTCAAGATGGCGAGTACGCTGGATACGTGGAACTAAAATCAATGTAGGCCTATCAGTGAACTATACCCTAATTATTTATTTCGAGTACACAGGGAATTTGCTGGAGAAACTGTGAATTATGATTTCGGTTCTGGCGAAGGTGTGTGTGACTTGATGTTCAGTGACAATGTTGACTCGGGTCATTACAGCATTATAAAACTTTCTCATAATCCCCAGGGTGTGAAAAGTACAAAAAGTAAAAGAACATGTAAAAAGTCATAAACTGGGCACAAAGTGACAACCACAACGAAATGACAAGTAGATAACCGAACCATCGAACTAAAAAAGTAAAGAACACTGGTGTTAAATGTGCTCTGGAGGTCCCAACAAAAAACACCGACACTTTTGAATTGGGATCGTTAAATTGGATTTTTCACTACTGCAAATCTATGAATTTTTGAGTCAGAACAGGCTAACAGGGGCACAATATATTCTCCTTATGTTGTCACAAGGTGAAGGTAAAATTTGCTCTTTATCATCATTCTGAGTTCATGGAAAATCTTATCAACGGGGCTACATAGAATATAAAGAAACAAAAACACTTTCAAAAAACTAGATCATACAACTCTGCATTTGCAATGGCGAGTTCTGAGTCTCACTTAGATGAATTAACATCTATCTGGTGGTCTATATAATTTTAAGATCCACCACTCCTTTACCATCGGATTGGACCGTTAATACCCTCTAAAATTTTATTTGATTGATGGCATCATTCCCGTGGCGGAGCACGGGTGACAAACTAGTTTTTGTTAAGTTTGAGTAGGGGTGTGCAATGCATCGAAAATGCATCAAAATTTCAATTCGATTTGATTTGATGCATCGAATCGCGATTCGATTCAGCATGCATCAAAATATCGATGCATCGAAAAAAAACCAATGCATCGAAAAAAACCCGATGCATCGATTACGTCCCGATGCATCGATTACGTCCCGATGCAACAATTACGTCCCGATGCATATTTGAAACTAATTAATTTAGGACTCCAAAATGAGTTTTAGATAGGGATGTGTCGATTATCGATACCACTGATACTCGAACATTGCCGATACTAGGATTATCGGTATCAAGAATCGATTGCCGAACGTCAATTTCGCTCGATTCCGCCGATACCGACACCCGACAGGGATGGATAGATATTTTATTTTAAACATTTATTTCTTTGATAGCTATTAGTTTTGTAATTACGCTAACAACTTTAGTAGCCAACTTTTTAGAACACTATTTAGTTCAAAACAGCTAAAGTGCCCTTGTTTAGCTTCAGCTATTCTCTCTGCAGGCAGATGATATTGCACAACACAATACAATCTACATTTCAAGATGTCAGACAGTCTGAATTCAGTCTCAGACAACCGGCGCGCGAGTGTCCTGCCAATATGAAATTATACTAAAAAATGTCTGTATATAAATAAATCAGACCTTTAATTAAATGTATTATTTTTATTTTTTGAACAAAATAAATAACCTAAACTCGTCAAAATGTTCAGTTTCATCCCTGCATTACGCATCATTAGAAAAATTAGATTCAATTACAACATTGTCGAAGTCAGGAGGGTTAGGCTTGCGATTGCCTATTGCACCAAAAAATAGATCCATATTATATCTGTACTATCTACCTAGTTTAAGAGTTTAACACGTTCGCGGCGGCACGTCAAATGGCGGGCGTATCCCAGGTGCGGCGCAGCCCTCAGCATCAAACAAACCCGATTGCCTCGTGTGATTGGCTTTCCAATTTCGGTCTGACAAATAGCAAATAACGTGCGAGGATGTCCTGCTTTACAACGAGAGTCGACGTAGTTCGCTAAACACCAACAGATAGCAGCACTGCTTGTAACGTAGCCGGTCCCATTGGAATTGTATTGCCAAATGGAGGGAAAAATACGGGACAAAAGTAGAATTTTGAGATTGCCAGACGGGGATTTTACGGGGAAATTTACTACCAACCTACACCACAACAAAATACAGTATACTATTGAGCAGTGCTGTGCGAGGTTTCAAGTTTCTAGCTCTAATCCTGGCTTAAAAATAAATCATTTCGTACTGCATTGCAACTTGGGAGCGATCGCACCCACCAGGATTGCATTAGGGTTCCATATAGGAGCGATGGCTCCCATGCCGCCGCGAACGTGTTAAGGGAAGTTTTAAGTGCTACTATAACATAAGTATTGATTGAAAAACATCATACGCATAGTCCATGTCGATTTTGTAATATTATAATGAATGGTCAATGTTGACTATCTAAGATAAATCAAAGTATGTAACAAGAGTTCTCATTGGTCGAGAGGCCACGCTGCACTGTCATGTCAGCCAATCGACGTTCGTGTTTCAATGGAGCAAATGACGATTGCTTTGACGTAGTTTTTTATGAGTCTATTAGATAAATTGATAATTATCGAGAACCGATATGTAGGTCTTGTTTGTTTATAAAGAGTATAAAATTAGGTTACAAGTTTAAAACGGTTTGATTTTCTTTCGTCTCACAAAGACCTAGATTTGACGTTCAATTATGTCAGTTAACTAAATCTTGACCTATATCTTAATATAATATTTTAATGAAACATAAATTTTTCCGATTATATCAATATGAATATTTTTGGGTCAAAACATTGTCCAATTGATGCCACCCCTTCACTCACGGAAGGAAGTTGAAATTGTTGCATAGACTAACCAACGTCCAACACAAGGGAGTATGTTTTATCTATAGTTGTAGTTACGTCGTACCCGGCTGGTTCACAGTGAATCCACTCTGCCCAGCCTTGCTCTTGGTATCATCAGGAACTTAAACACTTTTGTTACTAATTAAAACTATGGAAGCACCCGAAGAAACATATTTTGCTGCACAGTGCACACGATTCTTTTTCACTGTAGGCTGTTATTTCTTAAGAAAAAAATCGTCGCCTAGTTGCACATTAACTTCTTGAAATTAATTGTATCAAACGTGCAGTCTTTTCTCTTTTATTAAGGAGATTTAAGTCTCAAACAAAACATAATCTTTCTTTTCTCGTAGGTTAAATTAAAAGATATCTTTAGGCTACATATAAAAGCTTAGCAAAAAAACCTTAGCGAAAGTTTAGCAAGGAAAACCTTAACAAGTTTGAAATGGCACTTAAGTCCCAAAATTGGTATTTCAATGAGAGAGCTAGCCCAGATAAAAATTATGATGATTTTCTCTTAACTTTCTTAAACTCATTTAATGAGGCTTTTCCAAAAAAATCTCAATTGGGAGGGACTAAAGACAAAATAAATAAGAATTGGATTACAAAAGGGATAAAAACTTCAGCAGAAAGAAAAAAACATCTTCACCAGGAATCTAAATTTAACAGAAATCCTCAGTTTTTGAACTATTACAAAACTTATAAGAAAGTGTTCAAAAAAGTTGTTGCATTAGCAAAACTAAAATCACATGATGATTTCATTAAAAAATCTAAAAATAAATCTAAAGCATCATGGGCTGTTGTAAAAAAAGAACTTGGATTAAAAAGGCAATCGTCAGAAACACCTATTGAAGTTACATACAGTGAAAATGCCAAAATGAGTAATATTGTATCAATTGCAAACAATTTTAATAATCTATATATCTAATTCTGTAAGCCCAAAATTTTACAATGAAATTGTGAGTGAACGGGAGGCCGTAGAAAGCTGGGAGAGGTCTCATTTTAAAGGTCTGGGCATGAAATTTTGGGGAAAATTAGCCATTTTCCTTAATTATGCACCAAAAGGTTATTGCGGAATAAATTAATTCTCATTTAAATAGCATGGGAATCCAAGGTCATGTCTGCTTTGTTTACTTTAAAACATGTGGTTTAACTTTATTTAAAGCATATGGTGATTTGTAATATGTACTTTAATATGTATACTACTGTATTATAAAGCTGAAATAGACTTTTTTACAATTTTAAGGATCTGAATCAGTTAGTTAATGGAGTACGATTGGTTGTGTTAAGTATGTCTGAAAAAAGTTAGAAGGAATTACTGGAGTAGGCAAAGGGAACATATTTTTGATGCCAAAATAAAACTAATATCTACAGATGCTAATATATGCCGTTTAAGTTTACAAGGATTCAATTCCCATTGTGATTAGCTCTCGCTATTCTATATAAAGCGCAAGGCCAAACCTTCACAAAAGTTGGCATTTATTTGCAAAAAAACCAATGTTTACCCAGTGGCCAGCTTTATGTTGCTTTTAGCCGGGTAAAGCGGCCAGATGATGTTAAAATACTACCAAATAAAGACCAAGGAAACTACTTTAATATGGATACTGTAAAACAGAGAGTTTTTGCATTTTACAATTTGGAGGATGACATTATCTCTATGT